GGGAACTACTAAATGGCAGTTATTTCAAGTTAGTTTTATTTCAAGTACAGATTCCTCCCATATTTACCATACTCGTATCTATTTTATCTCTGCAATTTAAGTAGTTTTAATTTTGCTCTTGAATGTAATTTTGGGGGAAAATCAATTTACACCCAAAGCTTTTTAGATTTTGTTAGAGTAAGCTTTGTAGGTTGAAAAATTAAAACTCTAAACTAATAGTTTATAGATATTGGTTCATAGACTTGTTCTGTCTTTTTATTCTTTATTTTTATAAACAAAACAAAAAAAAAAAAAAAAAAAAGGAACCGAATGGATTTTAATTGTTTAACCTGCCGGTGTAAGGGTATACATTGATATTTTCCCCTAAAATGCCTGCTTTATCTATTACCTGGTTCATTAACCTGACCTAGATTGAACTGTAAATAAAGATATGAAGATGGGGCACCAACAATTTGACAATCGAGATCAAAGATGATCAGGTTCTAATAACTTTTTTTTTGGGAGCACTGAACAAAAAAAAAGTATTTTGTTTATGCGTTTTAATATTTTGCCGTACTTAATGTTTTGATGAGAGTTGCGCATTCGGTGCTTAATGATGTTGTAACTTAGCTCATATCTTGCCTTTCTTTCGATAGTCATTCCAATTGAGATCATAGGATACCGAGATTTTTCGCCCATAATAATCCAAAATTGTTGGGATTGGAGAACAGGCCGCATTTACTTCAAAATCAATTTGTTGGAACAGTTTTATACTTCCTTTGCCTAATCAATGTCACAATGCATAGTTGAAGGGAAGAAGGAAGCTGTGAGATAAAAATTATAAAAGGGAAGAAAGGAAGCAGGAGCCTTTGAATTTCAGTGAACTAACAGTTCCTTATTACATTCAGAGAGTAACTTTGGTGAATAAACTCATTAAACCATGGACTTAACAACAGCATTGCCGGGTACAAGTGCATTTATCACCTGAACAAAAACCGTCATCCCACCCCTCAGACGAAATGCAGACTCTAGCACATTCCACTGCCAAAGTGCACTGTCCTATAAACGCCTCGCTGTCTTTATAGCAAGTCAGCCCCTCCGTTTGTACCACCATCCATCCTGCAACAGTAATAAAAACATTCTTTTTAATACTATTTGTCGATCTAAATCAGTAGGAAGAAGTAAGAGAGATCACGTACCAGAAGCAAGGGCTAGAAAGATGAACGCAACAACTGTGAGCTTTTTTAAGTTTTCTCCCGCCATACTTTTCCTTTTTTTGTTGCTTGCTACAATTGAATGTTTGGATATCAGTTCCTCATTTTATACGAGTGAAATGCCTCATCTTTGTAACGTTTTTTCCATTGATGGGATATTTCTTAAATACTGATTTAATGCATATTTAATACAGAGGAATATTTCTTAAACACAAATTTAATGCATGTTTAACACAGATTTAACACAAATTTACAGAGGAATATGTCTGTTAAGATTAATTGAGGGTTATTTTTTAAATACAGATTTAATATTGATTGAGGGGTTATTACTTAAATACAGATTTGATTTAATATTGATTGAGGCGTTATTACTTAAATACAGATTTGATTTAATATTGATTGAGGCGTTATTTCTTAAATACAGATTTGATTTAATATTGAGGCCTTATTTCTTAAATACATATTTGATTTAATATTGATTGAGGCGTTATTTCTTAAATACAGATTTGATTTAATATTAATTGAGGGGTTATTTCTTAAATACAGATTTGATTTAATGTTGATTGAGGCGTTATTACTTAAATACAGATTTGATTTAATATTGAATGAGGCATTATTACTTATATACAGATTTGATTTAATATTGATTGAGTCTTAAATTACTTAGATACAGATTTAATATTGTCTTAAATACAGATTTAATATTGATTGTGGTGTTATTCTTAGGTTATACCTCTCTTACTTTTCCATTTTTGGTCGTAGGTTATACCTCTCTTACTTTTCCATTTTTGGTCGTAGGTTATACCTCTCTTACTTTTCCATTTTTGGTCGTAGGTTATACCTCTCTTCGTATGCTAGAAAATTTGGGATGATAAACGCAACCAAAAAAAAAACACACCATGTTCCACGTCCCAGTCTTCAAAATATATTCCACTTTCTGCTAACATATTGCGTTTTATTGCAACCATCTAAACTATTTTTTTCGTCATTATTTTCAAACTCTAATGCAATATTCTGGAGAATAGAACAATAAAAAATAAAAATAAAAATAAAAAAACTTTAACATCGCAGAAGTTCAAATGTCTTCACGCGTTGGCAGCCACCAATGCCATGTGCTCAATGAGGTCCAGCACTCGATTGCTGTTCAGGCGAGTATTATAACAGTCATATATCAAAGCAAAACGAGAGCGTAGGCATATTTCAAGCAAGCATTTCTAGTAACTGCAAGAGAGAGAGAGTACCTGTATCCCCACTCGTTGTCATACCAGGAGATAAGCTTCATGAAGGAGTGGCTGAGACCTATTCCGGCCTTTGCATCGAATATGCTGGACCTGGAAGTAAGTTCAGATCCAATTAACCATTCATGATCCATAGCCTGCTAAATGAGAACTAGAAATATAATATAATACCTTGAATCACCAACAAAATCATTGGAGACAACGTCCTCATCCGTGTAACCAATGATACCCTTGAGTGGGCCTTCTGAGGCATACCTTTAGTTGGTACTCAGGTAGCAGCATATTAATGAAAACAATTAACTTACGCGTGGATCAACTCAAAATAATCTGGGTAAGAATAGAATGATAGTTCATTTACTTGATTGCAGCTTTTACATCTTCATAAGAAGCACTCCTCTCTAGTCTACAAGTCAAGTCCACAACGGATACATTAGGTGTTGGAACACGAAATGCCATGCCTGTAAGTTTTCCGTTGAGCTCAGGAAGAACCTTTCCCACGGCCTGCAGTTCAAAAATCATATTGAAAAGATTAACTCCTTTACAACGTAGTCGTCACAAGTCTCTTATATTGACATCTAACCTTCGCAGCACCAGTAGAGCTCGGAATGATATTTTGGGAAGCTCCTCGACCCCCACGCCAATCCTTCATTGAGGGACCATCAACAGTCTTTTGAGTAGCTGGAGAAAGAAAAGGAAATTATCGTCCATGATTATTTCTTTCATTTTTCCTTTTTCCTTTTTTTTTTT